GTCTTCTTTGCAGGCCTGGGGACCTGGTCCCCAGTGTATTCCCAGAGCAGGAGTGATGTTTCCCCGGGTGAAGGACACCCTGGGGTTTGTTCTCTCACCTTCCAGGTCTTTCCACAGTCTTCCTGTGTGTTCAGCACAGGGACTTCCCATGAGCTTGCTCTGGTGAGGGAAGGAGGCTCAGGAGACACTGCCTTGGATCACGGCAACTCACCACTGGGTCCCCAGAGAAGGGCCCCCACATGACTGCGTCATGGGTCCTGCCCCTGAGCAGAGAAGGCGCTGACTGACTAGTATAGGAAACACATGAAAACAGTTCCTCAGAGTTAGCCTGACCCTGTTTTATTAGCCATTTTTAACTCAGTGAAAATTTTAAGGGCTGCTTTCCAGAGCATTCAGTTCAGCATTAATTGAGCTAAAATGCATTTTCACATCACAGTTAAGTCTTTTTTATTGTGTTGCATTTAATGGATGAAGCAGTCAGTAGAAAGGGGGGGAGTGGACCAGCACTGACTGTCCTCTGGGCAGCCTTCCTGATTGCTCTCCAGTTGGTAGACTCCACAAAGAGAAGGTAGAAAAGGAACCAGCCAAGCAAGCCTGCAGAGATGCTAGAAATGGTAGTGTTGGTGGGTAAAGGTGAAAATGCTAGGAAGGTTCCTCCCACAGCTAGCTTCTCACCCTTGGGTGTGAGGTGCAAAGAGGGCAGGGTGTCTCAGCATTCCTCCCTGGAGACTCTGGTCACATGAACTTCATGTTCAAAAATCAAGAAATCACTGAGTGAACAAAACGTGTCCCAGAGCTTGCCCCGTGAAGGAAGGCTCTGGAGCAGTGGACATGGTGGGAGGAGCGGCCCGGAGCAGTGGGGCTGCCCTTGGTGCCAGCTGTCTGGCTTCATCGCACTCCCCATGCTCTTCTCTCTGTTCTGTGCATTCTGCATGTTTTCCATAACATAGCAACCCCCAAAACCTCTCCATCATTTTGTGATTTTTGTTCTCTTGATCTGATATTTTTTGTTTCAATTTAAAACAATATCTGTTGAACTCAATTTGTAATTCATTTAAAAAATCTTTTATTCCAAAAAATACTACTTACAATTTCTTGCCAACATCAGGAACCTCAGATTAATTCTGTCTCCAGAAAAAACAGGAAAAGGCAAAAACTGCCTGATATATAGGTTCTTCCAGTCTCAACCAGGACTTATTTGTGTTTTTTTTAAAACCACCAAAGACTCAAGACTGTTGTAAGATACCAGCAACAGACTGCTAGTCTCTAAATATGTCCACATCTGGCCCCCAGAATCTGTGAATGTGTTTATACCTGCAAAAGGGACGTTCAGAAATGAACATGTAGGATCTGGGACTGGGTGGGTGGGTGTGGGAGGATTCCATCTGTGCTCACAGGGGTGTGATGGGAGATGGTGGCATGAAGATGGAGGAGGAGCCAGGCATGGGGTGCTCACCTGTAATCCCAGCAGCTCAGATGGCTGAGGCAAGAGGATTACAAGTTCGAGCCCAACCTCAGAAACTTAGTGAGGCCGTAAGCAATTTGGCAAGACCCTGTATCAAAATAAAAAAATTTAAAAAGCTTGGGGTGTGAGTGGGTGGTTAAGCACCCCTGGGTTCAATCCCCAGTACCAAAAAAAAAAAAAGAAGGAAAAATATGGAAGAGGGGGTGCCAGCCAAGGCATTCAGGAAGTTCCAGGAGCTGAGAAAAGTGACAGGACGGTTTCTCTCCAGAGCCGTTCTTTCTTAGAAGAGGAGAAGAATGAAAAACCTGGTGCAGAGCATGGTTCTTCTGTTCAGGCCTCATATGAGATGGGAGCCGGGAGGCTGGGCCTCCTGTAGACCTCCTCCAGTGGGTTCCTTGGCTTTAAACAGATACACATGGTATTTCCTTCCTTTTTCAGTGTTAAGTTTGATATAGAGTGATGCCCAAATCCACTAGAAAAACATGGCTGCAGAGTTGCCTTCTGAAGTGGGCCTCTCACTCTGGAGAGTCCAACCAAAGGGAAGAGTTGGGGTGAGGTGCATCTGTCCCCCACCTGTGGGGAGAGTGGCCACAAGCAGGGCTTCTGGGTGTATGTTGGCTTTGGTCCTGTGGGTGCAGCTGTGGCTCAGCTCAGGCCAGTTTCATGAGTAGCATTTAGAAGGGTCAAGCAAGTGTGGGTGTTGGCCACCTGGGGCACAGGTCCACATGCTGTCAGTTGGTTTCAGCAGCGCTGCAGGCCAAGAACCAGCTCGGCCCTGTTAGTGCCTCTCTCCTTTCTGTGGAGCCAGGGAGACCTGACCACAGCACGGTACAGTGATCATCTAGTGGTGTTTTAAGCCACCAAAGTTTTGGCAATTTGTACAGCAGCAACGGAAATGTATTATACCTCCCAATATTTAAATGTGGAAAATGTATAATAAATTCATTCAAACAACACAGAATTGGTGTGTATATGAGAACTGGGGATATCCAAGTGTGTTACAATATTTATAAGCATTTTCAATCATGGATACAGATGCAGAAATCCAAACTAAAATAACTGGAAACAAAATTAAATCCAATAGCTTTATGATGTTTTCAGGCTCAAAAGCCAACATCAGTGGGCTGGGGTTGTGGCTCAGTGGTAGAGCGCTCATCTTGCATGTGTGAGGCACTGGTTAGATCCTCAGCACCACATAAAAATAAATAAGTAAAAGATATTTTGTCCATCTACAACTAAAACAAATTTTTTTTAAAAAGCCCATATGGTGGTTTACTTGAGAAGTGTTACATAACCACATACACATTATACTTGATGTCAGGATACAGAGATGTGCTAGTCGGATCATGAATCATCAGGTTTCCTAGGTAGGACAAAGGTCTAGCAGGGCCAGCTGCTGTTGATCTTTGTCTGACAGATGAGCCCTGATTCTCACAGCTATCAGCTACTCAGCTTCAGCTGATCACGTGAGTTTTGTGAAGAAATTGGGGGGATATAAAGTGCTTCCTGCTCCCAGAAAGGGAAAAGTGAACTTTCCCTTCTCTGAGGCCCTCAGGAGAGGTTTCTGAATCAAATAAAACCAGTGTGGCCAGAGGAGGAGGGAGAGGGATGAGAGATTCAGCACTCGGCAGACAGAGAATGAGAACAAGGCATTAAAAAAATCCACTGTAGCTCAGTAGTAGAGCATTTTGCCCATTACAAACTATCTTGAGAAATTTAAAGCCATTATTTAATTCATCTCTCTTTTTTAGTTGTTGTTGTTGTTATTATCATCATCATTAGGTTCTGGTGATTGAACTCGGTCACTTGACCACTCAGCCACATCCACAGCCCTATTTTCAATTTTATTTAGAGAGAGGGTCTCACTGAGCTGCTTAGGGCCTCACTAAGTTGCTAAGGCTGACTTTGAACTTGGATCCTCCTGCCTCGGCCTTCCGAGTTGCTGGGATTACAGGCGTGCTCCACTGCACCTGGCTTCTTACAGTCTTTTAACGGTATTTAGTTTTACATCATATTTGAGAGTGTCTGCATGGGATAAGAAATGACTTGTTTTTCTGTGGCAGGAAGTGCTATTCTCTCATAACAAATGCAGAGATTACAGATCCCCTTTCATAAAGTATGTTCCCCCCAGGAGAGATGCAGGATCACACACTGGGCACCTAGTTCCCCCCTCAGGGCCTTACCATTCCAACACATCTCAGCCTGAAGCCTCAGAGTGAATGCTGTGGGCTCAGGCAAATGGGGGAGGGATGGTAGGGAGGCAAATAGCCACTGCTGCTCACAGGAAAAGGTGAACGGGAGGTGTGGGCGGTCCCACGCAGGTGGATGGGGGTGGCAACCTGCCTATGTTTCCCCAGCAAATGACTTCCCCTGTCTATAAAGACACCTTTGTGTCCAAGCCCAGAGAGCATTAATGTGTTACAGAGGACACACATGCTAAGATTCCTGGGATAACATGAAACTTTCCTGCAGTAACTACACACTTACCCAGCTGTCATTTGCTGCTGGAACAATGGGTGCAGATACCCCTCTTTGGTGTGGAATGGGTGCCTAGACCTGAGGTGCACGTTTGGGACTCCATGCCTCTATTTCCCTTCTGGGGTCGTAGTTGCAGGGACAGGACAGGACTCCTCAGGGAGTTAAGAAGAATACTTGCGGAGCGTGGACATTGCTGAAAGCTGTTAGTAAGGGCATAGTGCTATTAAAAGCTGGCTCTGGAAGCATTTGTGACATGGGGTAAAACTGTTTGCACTGAAGACTGAGCAGTGAGAATGAAGCTGACACATGGCTCTGAGGAACTTGGTGACCTTCTGAGTCTCATCTCCAAAATAAGATTCGAGTTCATACTGAACCACCAAGGAATATCCACCATAAGTAATAGTCAAGGGGAATTAGAAGAGCCAAACAAATTAAGCATTGGAGTGGATGCAGGGAGGGGAGGAAACAAGATCAGTATGAGGTTCCCAAATGTCTTTGAAACTCTGAGGAGCAGCAGCAGACCACGGTGGAATAGCCACTGGTCCCAATACGGTCACAGGAATGGAAGGTTTTTTTCCTTCAGTATTCTCCCTGTTCCTTGGGCTTGCACAGAAGAGTGTGCTGGACTGTATTTGGTTTCCTTTCTCCTCCCCAGACCCCTGAAGCCCAGAAACCACCACAAGGCAGCTGTTCAGGAAACATCAAGGGGTGCTCAGCCACCCTGAGGATGCTTCTGCAGGGATGAGCTGCTGTTGGCAAAGGTAGCCCTGCACTCACAGTTTGGGCAGAGCAAACTGGCCTTCCCCTGGTTATGCCCCCTTCCTTCATTCCTGGGGCCAGTAGTTCCAGAGACTCACAAATGGCTCTTAGAAGAGCAAAGCCACCGTAACAAGGAAGCAGTCTGGCAGTGTAGATAACAAAGGCCGCTCTCTCCCAGCTTTCAAGATGGAAGTCAGATCAGTTGTGGGCAGGTTGGAGACCTCTCCTCTTGGTTTGTAGATGGCACCTTCCTGTGTCTTCTCTGTGTCTTAGTCTTTTCTTATAAAGACACCAATTTGTGCTGACTTTGGCAACACATATACTAAAATTGCAACAATACAGAAAAGATCAGCACAGCTCCTGCACAAGGGTGACATACAGATTCCAGTTAGATTGGATTAGGGCTTGACCATCTCACCTAGATTTTACATTACCTTTTTAAAGGCCTATTTCTAAATATACCCACATTCTGAGATCCTTCAGGTTAGAAGTTCCACATATGTGTTTTGGAGGACAAAATTCCACTATTTGTGACATACAGAACAGAGTGGAAGAGTGGGGGATCCTCTTCCCAGCTTCAGGTGAGCTAGGAGCTCTGGGGGCAGAAACCCCTGGGAGGTGCTTGGTGAGCAGCCAAAAGGTGGAAACAATCTTGGAAACTCTTGACTTCTGGCCATGGCAGGAAATTATTTTTGCTTCCTGCTGTTAAGAGAGGATTCAGGGCTGGCAATACAGCTCAGTTGGTAAAGTGCTTGTCTTGCATGCACAAAACCCTGAGCTCAATCCCAGCACTGCACACCCCCCCCCCCCCCCCCGCCATAAAACAGAAGAAGAGAGGATTCAGGGCAGAGTTGGGGATGCCTCAGGGGTGACACAACTTCTCAGATGAGGAAGCAGTCTCCTGAGCTAGACCTCGGTGAGTTGGGCAGCCAAGAAAGCCTTATGGTGGCCACCTGCACTGTAATATGCAGATGGCCAGGGTAATCAATTTCAGGGTCTGAACTGAGATCCATGGTCAGGCTAAAATTTATTCATAAAAGGTACAGGGAGTTCAAGGGCCAAATAAACAGAGATATTCCAGACCATGGAACTGCTCCAGGTGCTGCTAAGACACTAGAGATAGTAGGAACATGACTCAACATTGTAAAAGTCCAACATCATTCTAAATAGAGAAAAACTGAAAGCATTTCCTCTAAAAACTGGAACAAGACAGGGATGCCCCCTCGTTTACCACTCCTATTCAACATAGTCCTGAAACTCCAGCCAGAGTAATTAGGCAAAAGAAAAAAAGGGATAAAGATATGAAAAGAAGAGCTCAAACTATCCCTATTTGCTGATGACAAGACCACCCCAAAACACTCCACCGGGAAACTTCTAGACCTAGTAAATGAATTCAGCAAATTAAAAGGATATGAAATTAACACCCATAAATCTGTTGCATTCCTATACACCAATGATGAATAGCTGAAAGAATCAGGAAAACTGTCCTATTCACAGTAGCCTCAAAAAAATAAAATATTTGGGAATCTAACAGAAGGGGTGAAACACATTCACAATGAAAACAAAAGAACACTAAAGAAATTGAAAAAGACCTTAGAAGATGGAAAGATCTCCCATGTTCTTAGATAGAATTAATGTTGTTAAAATGGCCATACTAACAAAAGTGCCATACAGATTTCATGCAATTCCTATTAAAATTCCAATGATATTCATAGAAATAGAAAAATCAGTCATGAAATTTATTTGGAAAAATAGAAAAGTGACACTGGAGGCATCACAACACCAGACCTTAAATTATAGTACAGAGCTATAGCAATAAAAATGACATGATATTGGCACAAAAACAAACATGAAGACGATTGGAACAGAATAGAAGACAGAGTCCTATCCACATAGATACAGGTATCTCATACTAGACAAAGGTGTCATAAACATATATTGGAGAAAAGATTGGGAAAACTGGAAATCCATATGTAGTAGAGTGAAATTGAACCTCTATCTCTCACCCGGCACAAAACTCAACTCAAAGTGGATCAAAGACCTAGACATTTAGACCAGAGACTCTGCACATAGTAGAAGAAAAAGCAGGCCCCAATCTTTACCCCGTTGGCTTAGGAACTGACTTCCTTAACGAGTCTCCTAAAGCAAAAGAAGTAAAATCAAGAATCAATCAATGGGATGCTATCAAACTAAGACACTTCTTCCCAGCAAAGGAAACAAGAACATGAAGAGAGACCCTACAAAATGGGAGAAAATCTTTACCACTAGCACCTCAGATAGAGCATTAATGTCCAGAATATATACAAAGAACTCAAATTAACACCCAAAATCCCCCAAATAAAAAAAAATGAATAAATGGGCTAAGGAGTTAAACAGAAATTTCACTGAAGAAGAAAAATGAATGGTCAAAAATATATAAAAATAGGTTCAACTCTCTATCAATTAGAGAAATGCAAATCAAAACTACATTGAGATTCCACCTGACTACAGTTAGAATGGCAATTATCAAAAATAAATATAACAATAAGTGTCGGTGAGGATGTGGGGTAAAGGTTCTTGATACATTGCTACCTGAGTGGGGAGAGCTAGTCCAGCTGCAGTGGTCATGCTGCCATGGACATCCAGCAGGACCTCGGGCAGCAGCTGTACCACAAGGTCACTCACAATGGGTCCCTAAGAGTGAGACTCAGAGATCACAAACAGTTTACACACAGAAGAAAATTGGCCTGGGAGAACTCTTCAGAGCTGTGAGCAGTGTCCCTTCCCCGAGGTGGTGGCTTGCTAAGGGAGAAGAGGAGTACTTTACCAGTGTGATCATTCAACTTTGTACACCTGAGAGTCTTTCAGAACACCCATATCATGATTATGATTTCACAACACCATTTAAGGATAAAGTGAGAAAATAGGAAGTCACTAGTGTAATGAAAATAGTTACAGAACTATAAGTAAAATAGGCGACAGGATTCAAGAAAGGATGAGGTGGCATAATCAAGAGGGCTTACAAAGTGAAGTAAGAGAAATGCAGGTCTGCAGACTTGCTGTGGGAACTTTGTGTCTGTATGAGCCTCGAAACTGAAATCTTTGCATTGCTAAGGATTGCTGTGGACCCTGAGACCTACACTGAGTCACAGGACATAGGAACTCATCAAGTCTCTGATTTGGGGTTCTATGGAGACACAGGAGGAGCCACAGAGTAGAGGCTTGACCTGGTGCTCATAAGGGTATCTTATCTCATAAGGGTATTTCTATTATACAGATTTTGGTTTCTGTATAAAAGAAGAGACATCTTCTAAGTGGGATGTGTCATTGAGGTGAAACCACTGGACAGCTAAGAGATACTTGTCAGATAATAGACACGGGAATGGATCCATTATGTGGCAGTGGAGGCCCTTGCAGGGTAGAGAGTATGGATTAGTGTGAGAGCGAGAATAGTCTGGCCCCTTTAAAATCTTGCTAAATGTCAGGATAAGGTTCTCATCATTCTTGATTCCTTAACTCACAATATTTTTCCATACTTGTCTTTACATAAAGTTTTCACTTTAAAACCAAGAGACAAATGAGCCTTTCACTTGTGTAAACAGGGGATGTGGACAACAGCATTCCATGGATGCTAGAAAATTAGATGCACGTTATTAAAGACTCCATTGGGCACAGCATACCCTGCACAGAACAATCACAAAACAAGCAGAAAACAGCAACAGGCACATCCACACACCTGCAGCCACTCCCACACAGGCACTCCATGTCTGCTCAAAGTGGGAGCTCACCCCCTATCTCCTTCCTTGAAGCGTGCCTGCATCCCGAGGGCTTCAGCCAGAGCCCTGTTAGAGGCCATGTGTTGAGTGAGAAGAGGGAGCAGTTTCTGAAAGAATCTGAGAGGAGAGAAGGGAGATGCCAGGCAGCCCTAAGAGCTCACTGGAGTGGCCACATGCCTCTCCTCCCTTAGCATTTGCTTCTTGAATGTGTTCAGGCATTCATCAATCCTTTATCTATCATCTATGCATCATTTACACCTATCACCTATCATCATCTATGCATCATCCATCATTTATGTAACACCTATCATCTATGCATCATTCACCATCCATGTATCATCTATCACTAATCTGTCATCTGACTTCTATTATCTACCTAAGGTTTTTGTTTCCAATCTCAGAAAGGCAAAACATTTTTAAGACGAGTTAATCTTGGATTTCCTGAGAAAAATGCTTCCTAAGATTCTGATCCTTCCCCAAAGGGAAAAGCTGCTTACCATATTAGATTTCCTTCCAGTACCGGGATGCGGAGGCAGCATGTGGCAAGTGTGTGGGTGAGACACTGAACCTCAGATTAAGGTCTAGGACTGCAAGATCTCACCTTTTTGCTGGCAGCGATTACCATGTCACCTGGGAGTGGTGACAGTGTCCTCAAGGGGACTGCAGAGGACACTGTGAATCTGGGATTGTGCAGAGCACTGACAGCTATTGGAAGTGCTTAGTATCCACTGGGAGTAACAGAAACGGATGGGGAGACTTGTATTTCAAGTAAACAATAAAAATTCCAGGGCATGTGAGAAGAGGACCCTGAAATCTAAAGACTAGATAGGATGCCATCAGTTTCCTAAAGGGTCTTCTTAGCTGACGTGAAGCCTTCCCACAAAGTGCCTGAGGAAACGGTAGTGGCGTCCACTGAGGCAGCTGCCTTGCAAGAGACAACCAATTCTTCTCAGTCTCAGTCACAACATCCCTTTGTACCTCTAGATCTACAACGAGATGCAACTCCCAGTCAGCCTTTGAAGGACAAGTGTGCCAGTGGAGAGTTGAACTGCACTGAAAAATGGTTTTCCTAAATTATACAGAAATCCTGAAAACATGTAGGGGAATGGATACTAAAGGTGGGATAGTGATGGGTAGAACATGAATCAGGCTGAAGTCATTGATCTTTTCCCACTAAGCAAAGATGATGCATTATCATCTTTGATTTCTGCCAACTTACTGTAGGCCACCTACACTCCATGTTCCTGCCAACTAACTAAATGAATTGTGAGACTGGTTCTCACAATTCGTTTAGTTAGTTGGCAGAAATATGGAGTGTAGGTGGCCTACAGTAAGTAAGGTCTGCTTTGGGTGTACGTGGAAAACAGGGTCCAATGGCTGTAGGAAAATTAGAGTGGACTGACCATTTCAGATCTTCCTCTCACTCTTGGAGGTCAGAGAACATTTCTCACCATGTCTATGAGAAATAAACTTGTGAGAGGGAGTGGTAGCATCCTTGAAGAGCTTTGAGCTTGTCCTTGATAATTCAAAATGCGTCGCAGCAATGGCTGCCTCTGAACTGGGAAACCACATGCAATGTAGGAAACTAGGTTGCAGGGTGGCAAGGACCAGCTGGTGGCACTTAACTGCCAAAGGCAAGGTGCAGATGGTAA